ACACCTGAACCGAATGCAGCCTCATCACCGCCACTGTTTAAATGCCAAATCACAGCCACCTTTGCTCATATTTACCAAGGGTGCCAATATTAGTGGTTGGCACTGTATGAGTGCATATCTCCCCTGAGGCATTCAAACTCGCAGGCACCCAGAAGATTGAAGCCTCCACAAAATGTGATTTTTCTGAAATATATCTCCGATCGCTGCAGTCCAGGCTCACAAAGAAAAAAACAACTGATAGCGTAACTGATAGCAATGTAAACAATGACAAAACAGCTTGTGGATATCCTGAAGAACTCTTCAGAAGCAAGCTCCACAAAATATTGTCACATACGATTAGAGGTCGACCAAATGGGTTTTTCACTGGCCGATGCCGATATTTAGAAATCAGGGCAGCCGATGGCCAATATATGCCGATTTTTTTTTTTGTCCGATATGTTTGGCCGATTTTCTCTTTTTTTTCCCCCATTCATCTCATAAAAGTGAGTTTGAGCAAATGATTATTGCAGGGTACAAGATAGTAATAGTAGTAGTAGCCTAATTTAGAGTAATAATACATGGCTCAAAACATAAGCACCTTCTCAAAACAGGTCTGAAGCATGCTTTTTGTTTATGTTTGCTGACAGACACCAGTGTTTCCCACAGACTGCAAATTAATTCTCTGTCAGCAGGAGGCGCTTTGGGAGCTGGAGATATAGCGGTTTCCCCGGTAACAGCTGTAATCAAATAAGCACTGCGCTCACAATCACAAACGTTACTTTATCAGGCATTACAGGAAAGACTATATGAAAATGACATTGAAGCTTTTCTGAAGACAGTCGGTTCTTTTCAAAGATACATTCATATAAAAACACCCGCGCTGCATTTTAATTTTGAAACGTAAAGCACTCATTTTATTCAACAAAGTATAAGCCTTTTGGAAAATCTATTTGTGGCAGTCAGTTTTGATATTGTAACGAGCCAACACAAATAACTCAATGTATAAGAAACACTGGACACTGCTATAAGTCAAATGGCCATAGTGATAACAAAAATAAAAGATTTCACACACATTACACAGCCTGCTGCTGATAACTGCTTAAGAGTGTGCTGGCCACAAGCGATGACATCGTGGATGCTATTGTCTGACCCACAGACACATTTTATGAGGAAAGTTCAGGTGCACGTTATAATAAGCCCAGAAGTTTCGTCTGAATTGAACGGGTTTCTACTTTCACATGCAAGTGACTTGTTGCACTTATGAATATGATAACTTTCCGGCATCAATTCTAGTAGGGTAAAATGTAATTCCGCTTTCGAAATGGTCTGTTATGCCCTGCCATTAGCTGAAGCTGTGTGTGGACAAGTCAGAGTGTGAGCTGCTCCGCAGGGTTGCCAGGTTTTCACAACAAAACCTGCCCAATTGCTACTTAAAATTAGACCAAAACTAGCCCAATCGCATTTTGAGGTGGGCTCCCTGGTAAAATTCGCACTCCTGGGGCTAAATATCACGTTATCGAGGTCGCTTTAACCCACAGACATGAAAAACAACCCGCGCAACAGTGATAAAGTAGCCCAATTCTGCGGGAAAACCACGGCCTTGGCAACACTGCTGCTCCATCTCACTCAGCCCAGAGGGAGTTCCGCAACAATGCCTATAAATCGGCCTAATTTGCAGCACAATTGGCCAATGCCGATTAATAAAAAAATTGGCTGTTTAATCAGCCGACCTCTACATACGATTCAATCAAGCGATAATGAGAAAGGTCGAAATGACGTGTTAGGGGGTTGTTATAGTTTTAGACACGGCATGAGTCACGAGGTGACAACTTTGTTATTGTTTTCGGTCAAGTGCGAGCATGAGGGATTTTCCACTAGTATTTTCAGCACTGCCTCTGGCGGTCTGGAGCAAAAGGAAATAGAACTGAATGTTAAACATTTTTCCTGGCCAGTTAAGGAAAATGCAAAAATGTTCAGTAAAATAAGACTTGGGAATGGGGAAATGCATTAGTAAATAGTTGTTTCTCATTTGTTCATATTTTACTTTTTACTAAATTTTACGCATTGTCTGAGCTCACCACTTGACATGGCACAACTTGCCCAACCCTCTACATTGCGAGTAATCTTCACTCTGGGCGACTAAATTATGTCTAATATTAGCCACTGGCTAATAAATTCTCAGATTTTACTCGCCAGTGTGTGAGTTGGACGCTAAGTATAAGTTTAGCACAGATATATTTTCACTCGCCGAAAACACTGACTGAGCGCTTCAGAGTTTCACTCCCCGTCAAGCGATCTGTGATATTTCTCAGTTCATCTGAATGGATGTTTGACGTACCGTGAACTCTAGTGTAAAGGCGCACACTTTGTTTCACACACACGCAGAGAGAGAGAGAGCGCAAGAGAGTCTACATGCAGAATTGACGCGCTACATGCAAACAATATACTTTGTTGTATTTTCCGGTCAAAATAACGCCGTTCCTTTGGAATTCTTCAGCTTATGAGAACTGCTGGGTTCTCCGGTAGTGGGCGGAACTAATGCACAAGCGACAATCTCATTGGCTGACGCTCACCTATTATCATCCCTGTTTTGATTTCAGCAAATCAGTTCGAGCAAACGCACACAACCTGATTAATATTCATGAATCCAGCAGCTCATTAATCCTTGCAGAACCGTGCATTTTATATTGTTCTTATTAGTAGAATTCTAGGTATTATTATTATTATTATCTTATCAGTATTATGGTTAGTTTTTCCACATTTGTTTTTAGAGAAACACTGAATAACCAAAAAAGCAGCACCACCTGTCCTAAGTTCAGTTAAAATTACTAATATGCATTCACACATGGTTTTAATCACTAAAGTTCTACCATTAAATAATACTTGATTATCATATAATGCTTGACTGACTGATAGTCTAAAAGCAAACTTCCTGTCAAAGGTCTTCCTGTTGAGAGAGATTCATATGAAATGAGTTTGTTTCTAGTTAAGATGTATTTCTGTTACTTCCACAACATATTCTAGTGGTTTTAGATACTGACATCATGCTGATTACTGCCAAAATAGTGAAAAAGCCATTTAATGACATGACAAATTACCAAACACAGCAAGTTAAAGAAATAGTTCACACATATATATATATTTAAAACACACACACACACACACACACATGCATATATGGTATATCAGTCTGGCGAGTAAACTAAAAAAAAAAGTACTAGCCAATGGAGATTCAATTGCCAAGGTGTCCGTAGAGGGTTGTTGGCAACTTTTATTTTTATTTTTTTAAACAACTCATGTTTCTATGGCTCTATAGACGCATTCTTAGTTGACTATGGACATGCATAAATAAAGAATATTAGTTTCGAATCCAAGCGCTTTAACATGGCACCTCCACAATATAGCGAGAAATACAGCTGTGATTCTGAAGTGGTTGATTTTGCTGTCAGAGACATTTGTAAATGGACATAAATCACACACAACTGTCCTCTGCAATAACAGACTATAAATAATTGATGCTGTTGGTGGGCAGAGGGTGCGGATTTAAAAACTCGTATGCTAATCTGCTGCTGGTTAAAAATGATTAAGAGATGTAGACGGTGTCGTTTTGAGCCATGACTGTTCTTACAGGCACGTCTCTGCCGCAGGGTTTCATTTGCAGTACACCGGTACATATCGATTAAGCAGAACACATGCAGTGCTTTTGTTGAGGGTGTTTGCTAATAAGAATAACCACATCATTGTTTCCACATCTTAATGGTGGGATGCTTGCTACAGATTAAAAGAAGTGACCCTCAGGGTAACTTTCCAAATTGTTTGTGTGTGGCTGTGGCTGAAACACTGAACTAATTAAATACCAGGAAGTGGCTTAAAGATAATCAAGGATGACAATTTGGCCTGCTGGAAGAGAAGCGTCTTCACCAGCTCGGTTTCAGTAAGTGAGTTTTGCTCTCCTCATAACTGACCAGGCATTTAGGTTTCTGATGGCTTTTCACTCTTCTGTAACGTGAGTTTTGAGTGAATGAGCTGAAAGGAAACAGGCAGTTTTCAATCTGTCTATCATTCTCACCCAAGCTGTCAAAATTTCACCTAAAAATATAATGACATGTCAAAATAACAAATCTCAGTCTTTCTGACATTACAAAGTCAAATCTTCAACAGCATACAGATGTCAAAAAGACTTATAATCTCATACATTTACATACCCCTGCAGAATCCGTTTGGCGTTTTTTAAATGTTTTCTTTTTTGCCTAGAAAAAATGTATTATGATATTCTAAAATATAATGACTTAAATTTGGGTTAAATTTTGGTTCTTAATATTGTGTGTTGTCTCCTCACAAATCAATGACTGACACAGCTTTATTATGTACAGGCCCCTCAAAACAATCATTAGTTGCTTGCACCCAAGTTACAAACTTAATTTATACGAAAAAAATTAAATAAATGATAAAATATTGAAATCTTAAATAAAAGCAGTGTTTCCATCCCATGTGTTTAAGAGACCAAAATCATCACTTTCATGGATGGTTATGCACTTTTGTATCCACTATATATAGTTTTCACATTATGGACAATTTATTTGCATTTCTTTTGCAATATCCCAAATTCTACAAACATGTTGTATGTACATTTTTTAAACAGAATAATACCAACATAAATTTATTTGTGTTTGTTATGTGGAATATACAGTATGTTAATATCTGGCAATTCTTTTATTATTTACAAATCTTGGAGATTTTGCAAGGGGTTTATAAACTTATGAGTGCTAGATTTGAAAAGTGCAGCATAAATGACAAGCTCATGACACCTTATTTATTCTATATATTCATAGTAGAACAACAGAAGTGACAGACCATTTCATTTGATTGTGTTTGTTAGTGTAAACAGACACATTCTAGGTGCACAATTGTCACCAAATGAGGAAGACCAGTTTACAGACGTCTGTCAGTCTGAAAATACAACTGTGTGTACTGATAAGAGATGTGGCTGCGAGAGAAAGATAGAAAAACGTGCGCCTTACCGTCGTGAAGGCCAGGAGCTCCTCATTATTTAGCTTGTGAACTGGATTATTCTTCTGAAAGTCTATGCTGCAAAGCAACAAACCACAATCAATCAAAAATATCTGCACATAAAAGCAGCACACGTTTCTTTTAGTTCACAGGTCAAGGACACAAATGCTCATTAAACATTGTGAATTGAAAAAAGTGGTCATATTTCAATCAACAACCAAAAGAATAAAAACTAATAAATAATCCTTCCATTATGATTTTTGCATAAATGACATTATTACTGTAAGGCATAAAGATATAATTTTTACTTAGAAGATTCTCTCAGTAATTTGTGCTTCATTTACTAAAATAAATGAATGAAAACTAAGTTCAAACAAGTACCATAGATCTTAAACCTACGCTTCCCTTTTTCTATGCAAAATAGTTTGTTTTTTTTTGCATTTGGGTTACGACCCCCACATTTCATGAAATTCACCAGGCCTATTGTAGTAGAGGCATTAAAACAAAGTTGTCACAGACAGTCAAAAGGATATAATATGAGCTTGCACATCTCAACCCTCACTCAGCAGTTCAATTATTTCATCCTATTATTATAACCATAACTCAGTATTCTAGGTAACTTCAGCTACTTTCCTCAAGTTGTAACTGTCTGAATTTCTCATTTGAGTCAGAGTTCTTTACGTTAGCCAGGGCTAGTAAATGTACGGTGGGCTGTTCGCATTCCAACAGAATGCCGTTAAACCGTACGTGCGGTTTTGCTCGACTGCACCAATGACGGTCCATAATTCACCTTTAACCATCACGCAGTCCAATTAAGGTCCCTGGCCTGCATAATTACGCCTTGCTAATTATTCCACGCCTGCAATTTGTCTCCTAGCAGCCAGTCGGGCAGGATGACGACCTTTCTACAACAAATAGGGCGCACAGGCTGGTACAAAGCTAATTAGAGAGCAGTGTAGGAGAACCCCACACCTCCTCCCGGGGCTGAGATGGGGGTGGATGACCATAGACTTTTTTTATTCAGGATGGAGAAGACCGCTATCAATGTGCACTTGGGCACAAAAACACATTCTGCAAGACGAAGGCTTGACGCAGCACTTCAAAGTTACTAAGATAAAACAAGACTCAATAACAATGATTTACACATCCCCAACATGATTAATGTCGAGCTGCAGCTTTAAAAGTCAGGAACTACTACAATGAAATACTACAGCTACTAAAACTAATCTCAAGGATGAGGAGAAAGAGACAATTTTTCCTTGCATTTTTGGGTCTATGAATTTTTAAGCACATTTCAGCCAGAAGACCCGTTGAAGTCATACTCGTAAAACAGCTTGGCTTGGGCTTTACCAACCTGATTTTCAGAAGTATGTTCAATCTCACATGCACAAGGTAGACTCTTAAAACAGTCTATAATAAAGTGTCACAAACCAAGACACATATACACACACTTGTGGCAAAAATGTGATGCGTTTCATTTCACTTTTAACAGTGGTGGTATATGCAACTCCTCTGCAAGACTTAAAACTTCCATAAAAGTGAAACTTTTACCTTCACAGCAACATCCTTGCAAATTCATATGTGGCTTCAATTAAAATAAACATAAAATACTGTTTTAATAAAACTGAAGGAATGGTGATTTAAATATCTATAATAAAGAGCAGCACACAGTTACTGCTTTGCAGTTATAGGTTAGTTTAATAATGTCTACTTGAGTATGTGGGGGTGGGGAATTTTTGCACCATTTTGATCTGATTTTTAATTGTTGGTCTATATATTGGAAGAACATATTTGGCCATTGCATCAGGTCTCACAGCTTTTGCACCATTGCACACCCTTATTCTATTTTACAGATTTAAAAAAATACAGAGTAAAAAAATTAACAAATTTTTTTTTTTGTTAATTACACAAATAGAAAAATATTAATATTAAAAATTACATTGTAATTCAGAATCAAACTTGTATAAAATAAAAAAATTTAAATAAAAAAATAAGAGGCTGCTTTTGTGTATCTGTGTATAGCCATTACTGCATTTCAATCTGTATGAAATGTTCTGAAATCAAAAAAACAGTCAGGATGCAATTACTGTGCTTCATGATCGATCACTGTTGTCACTTCAGAGTACCTAGATACTGGTGCCCATCCTGTTACTACAGCCACTATTGAAACAGCACATATCCATATTGATTCAGACACTCACCAAGTGGCCAGTATAAGGGCCTGTTCCTCAGCGTTGAGGTCTGGAAGTTCATATTCAGATGGTTCTGCCAGGTTAATCTGGTTCAGGACTGTATCATCACTCAACTGATGATCCTATAAAAACACACAGACAGACACAGGCATAAGAACCAGAGCGGATCCCAAAATGACCTTAAAAAGTGTATGACAAATACAGATCACAGTTTAGATAAGTGAAAAAGGAGAGAGAAAGTAAACAACAATTTAAAAACTGTTTTATGAGTTATAGCAACACAACATTTATTATTGTATTATGAGCAGCTTTAATAACATTGTCAATCCTCTTATCGAACTTCACATTATTAAAGTATAATAAAACAAGCCTTTAGCTTAATATAATCCCTTTAGAAGGATTATTTCCTGAAATATTACCTGAAATGAGAAAACGATGCTAGCTCATGCATCAAGAAATCAATCATAGTCCGCATTGATACTTATTAGCTGGGGTGGGGCATATGCAAATGAACATGTTCCTCTGCTTTAGCCTATTTAAAATCTAATTTGTTGACGTTCAAATTCAATTCCCATGAAATGAAGTCTGACAGCTCTCACGCACAGATACTCTACCTTCACACAAAGACAAACGACAACCAAGACCCACTGGAGTGCTATCAGCTCAGAGTTTGTAAGCAATATTGATATCACATTTAATCCGAAAACTCAAGCCATCCTGGAAAAAATTTAATGCACTTTTTAGGGCCACAACACATAAAATTATGCCAGGTAAGGGGAAACGGAGATAAGGTCGAGAATTTTCCGTAAAATCTTTGTCTGTCCCCAATTTGTCATTTTTGCAGCCAAAGCAGATAACACCAGACAGAGCAATGCCACTGCACAGAACAGCCAAACACCAGATAAAACTCAACCACCGTCCAAAAAAAGTGCAATAAAAGTAAAGCAACTGCCTCAGGGTGAGGGGAGAGAGACAGCGTGAGGAAGACAGGAAAGAATGAGACAGATGGAAATCTGCATAATATTTTTTTTTACGACCTTCACTGCAGCTCAATGTCACGTTAGCTGTCAGCACAAGAATAAATGTCGCCCCCTGATGGATGGGATAAGTACTGCACTATTCTTGCCCCCACAGGGACTGTGACGGGTATTTATGCACCAGGGGCCAAAATGATCACTCGTCAAGTGCCAAATAAGAGCAGAAAACGTAGAAATGACCATCGTTCATGTAAGTCATGCATGTGATTCCAATGACATACGAATAGTAAAATAAAGAAAATATATATACTCATATTACATATACTCATCTTGCATATGATGCTCTGGTGACAACAGCAAAATAATTTCATTGTAACAGAACAAATACAATAAAATCAATTAAATTAAAATTGTCTCTCATAGTTGAGGTATACCTATGATGAAAATTACAGGCCTCTCTCATCTTTTTAAGTGGGAGAACTTGCACAATTGGTGGCTGACTACTTTTTTTCCCCACTGTATATATATATATATATATTTTTTTTTTTAATAAAATCATCTGATTTCACTAAATTCACCTGCCATTGTCATGACATTAAGATCATTTTAGACCTTCCACGTACCTTTGGTAAGAGTTCTTTAGGTGTTGGTGTGAGGGAGGGACTCTCAAAATTGGGAACAGGTGAATTGTCCTTCCGTTTCACATCTAAGATGAGTTGAGCCACAAAGTTCTCCTGAAAGAGAGTTCTCTTCCCTAAAGCACCTGAGAGAGACAAACAGTTATTTAATCATTCACGCATTCCATCAATTCTTTACTCATTCACACTACTGGGTAATCCATATTTTCTTTAAATCATTCATCTTCCTGTTACTTCAGTCACGCACTGCCGTTTATCCAGCCTTCAATTACCTGCACAGAGCAATCATTTTTCTTGACATTCCATTACATTTCTTACCTGTCATGTTAACATCGACTCCTGACAGACTGCGGGCCGTCTGCAGGTGTTCTTTGGCCCTGCGATACTCGTAGTAGGTCAGGCAGGTATAACTACACTCCAGGTGGAACTGAATGGCCAGGTTCTTGTGTGTGCTGTTGGTGAAGAGCTCCTCACATTTACACACTACAGAAACAGAGTACCAGTCCATTAGTGACAAAATCAAAATTTTTACACATTCATCTATATATTCAGCATTTATTATATTGCCACATATCTCCAGAGGAAAATGCTAAATGGTTGCATAATGCATTGCACATTTATAGATAGATAGATAATTCTGATTATCACAGATACAGTATGAGGTTGCACTGCAAGGGAATAAACCTACTGCCTATATTATATCACTATCGTTAGTATATGGCTGGATACTCACAGGGACCTAAACTAAAAACAAAGGAGGAAGAAGGAAAAGGAGGAATAAAAAGTGGAAGGAAAGTGGATTTGAAGAATGAAGGAAGAAAGAACAAAAAAGGACCTAAGGAAGGACAAAAAGAGGAAGGAAGGAAGGAAGAAAAATGGAAAGGGGAAGGAAGAAAACCTAACTGAATAAATAAAGGTTCAATTTAAATTCTCTCTCTCTGTCCATAGCTGTACATCCACTTTCAGCAATATTGTATGTATGAAAATGTGAATGCTAAAGAACCTTCATAAAGCTCAGCTCACACAATCACTGTGACCTTCAGCGTGATCTGTGTGAGGATCGGAGTGTTTTAATGCCCCTCATTGCAGATTAAAGCTCACTTAGCATGGGAAAGCAGCACCTTTCCTCGCATACACTAACAGCTCCAGATCATTTATGGGCGAGTCACGCACATGTATTTGTGTGTGCAGAACTAAGAGAACCGCTCATTTCTTACCTTTCACAAAGCTATGTGACACAAACAGCAATTAGCTCGTTAACAAAAAAGAAAGCTGCGGGAAAAGCAGTCATAAAAATATCACAGAGAGCCTCAAGTATATGCGGACTAACATAGCTGAAATTATAATTTTGAATTTATCACACATGCAGCCTACTTTCACTGTCACATCTTCAAATGTCATCAAATGAAAGCAAGTATCTCTGCCTGTGTGTTAAGAGGGGGGGAAAAATCGGTTTGAGGTTTTATTCTAGAAAGTGAAAGAAATTACTAATTGGGTACAGATATGATATGAGATTATATTTTTGTGTAGTTGGACATTTACATTTAGACATTTAGCAGATGCTTTTATCCAAAGCGACTTACAAATGAGGACAATAAAACAAATACAAATGAGGACATGTTAAACAAATACTGATTATGCATTTTATTTATTTAATTAATTATAATTTCTAAGTAGTAGTACTTTTTTAATTAATATTATTATTAGACATAATTATGATAATTGTGTAATTGTACTTATATTTGTTAAGTACAATTAATTACAGTATTATTATCATCATCATTATTAAATGATAACAACAACAGTAATTGTATACTGACAACTCTCAGTATCAGAGTGAAACTCTGGATAACCTGGACTTTTAAAAAAAATATTTAAAATCATTTAAAGGGGTCATATGACGCTTTTTTAAAGATCATTATTCTGTGTATTTGGTGTAACAGAATATGTTGACATGCTTTAATGTTCAAAAAACATTTTTCAAATACTGTACATTATTGTAGGTCCTCTATGCCCCGCCTCTCTCAAACGCTTCGTTTTCTACAAATTCTCTCCTTCCGACAAGCGCAGTCTGCTCTGATTGGCCAGCTGACCCAGTGCATTGTGATTGGCCGAACACCGCAAGCACGCGTCGGAAATGTAACGCCTCCTCTCCTAGGTTCACAAAACGGTCATCCATAAAATGCATTGCTGTTCTGTTGTAAGTAATCTTAAAGATTCCTAAATGCATTTACTTTCGGAAGGCCAAATAAAGTGCTTTTGCTTTCGCTTAGAAACACAGCGTCTCCCTGACATGCTGCATCAACACTAACTGCGGTTACTGAAACCACGCCTTCTTTCTTTGCGTGCACATTTGGGCTGCATTATGCTAATATTTCCACAACAGTGAGGTAGATATGTGGGGGCGTGTTAGAACGAGCCGTTTTAGGGGGGCGTGGCAGAGTCTTAACTTTGATAAATAATATCTTTTTGGTTTTGAGACTTTAGTCTTTGCAACTTCAGGGATCTTATCTATGCACAATCAGCTTGTAACACTCCAAAGAGAAAGGAAAACTTGAAATAGCATCATATGACCCCTTTAAGCAACACATTTAACCAGTACAAAGACTCTGTCACAAAGTAGTGGCTAATTAAAATCAACACATCATGCAACTCATAATTTTTAATTGATTGACAGCCCTGCTGAATACTCTTAAACCTTTGCTACAGAATATTAAGAACCACTACCAAATCTGTTACCTACAGACGTCTTCATGAAAGCAGTCACCGGTGAAATCCCAGTACAGGCTTGACATTTACTAACCACAATGATCAAAGGCCTGGACCAATTTCCACTCACCCATGTAACTCACTGAATGTAAACGCTGATTAAAAAATAATTCACCTTTATTATTTACCAACTTATAAAATGCGTCATTGACTTCAAAGTCAGTGATAAGAAAAAAACTGCCCAGACAAATTTGCTCGAACCATAAACCCTATTGAAATCTCATCTCGTGGTTAAGTCGGAGTGCAGCTCTTGAAGTGAAATACTGTTCAGAGAAATCCTTTCTCCGTTTCTGACCATTTTCACTTTGTGAAATGCAAAAGTACTCAGTGTCCTGTGAGTGCATGAGTAAGTAATGACTGCTAGGATAAACATATCACACAGTGTACTTTTATTCAGACTGAAATGAACGGTGTAGAACATCAGCTTTTCTTATTCACAGTGCACCGTTAAAGTATGTAGAGATGCAGTCCATAATGACATCTGGTCAGCAAGGATGGATTATGTTCCTGTGTGGCCCTCAGTGGGAGATGTACTAACAAAATTAGATAGCAAATATGACGAATAAACTTGCAATTGCAAGATATAAAGTTGCATAAGAGTTACACATTGCAAAAGAGACAACGCACCACAGCTAGTACAACTACAAAGCTGCAATAATGTGTTAATGCTTAAAAGGGGGTCATGAACAATTATTTCACAGGTGGCAACATACACTCACATGCACTCAAGCACAAAAATTTTAATTTTACATGTCTGGTCATTTATTTCTAGGTTGACCCTGCTTGAGATCCCTGGTAGCAAGAGGTCCCAGTCTCTCATCCCATTGGACCAGTCCACAAGCCACCCATGCTGCTCAGACTGGGAAAGCAATTGCAAACCAGATATTCCCTTCCACACTCAGCTCAGCCAGCTAGATTAAGGACAAAGCAAACCTGTATAGCTGTTTGAGTAATGACTTTAACAGTCCAGAGGATTTAAGAGGCAGGTGTGTTGATTGTTTAGATGTAGCCATTCCTGCAGCAAATTGATGCCCGGAGGCTAAAATAATGTGTGTGTGTGTGTGCGCGTGTGTGTGTGTAGGTATGGTTATACATGCGTGTACGCATGAAGGGCGAAACGGCTATGTAAAGATGGGTTTCCTGATCAAACAAAGCAGTTACAGAATAACTATAACATCTTTTTGTCTGGTATAACTCTGGAGCAGAGTTTCCCACTCAGACAAGCTCTATGCTGATTTAATTTTTTCCTAAAATACGCCAAAATTATGAATTTGAAGTCAACTAAGCAAACTTTGTTGAAAATTAAAGGGATAGTTCACCCAAAAATGAACGATTCTGTCATTTACTCACCATCAAGTTATTCCAAACCCATAAGACTTTAAGGTTAATCTTCGAAACAAAAACTTAGATATTTTTAATGAAACCTGAGCAGTTTCTGTCCCTCTATCGGAAGTCCAGGTAAGCAAGATCCAAAAAGATGTCATAAAATGAATCCAGCCGTTTAATCTAAGTCTTGGGAAGAGATGCAATCACTTTATCTGATGAAAATATTTAAATTTAGGCTTTTATTCACAGATAAACATAACTAGAATGCATCGCATGTGTGACCCTGGACCACAAAACCAATCATAAGGGTCAATTTCTCGAAATTGAGATGTATACATCATCTGAAAGCTGAATAAATAAGCTTTCCATTGATGTATGGTTTGTTAAGATAGGACAATATTTGGCCGAGATGCAACTATTGGAAATCTGGAATCTGAGGGTGCAAAAAAAAAATCTAAATACTGAGAAAATCGCCTTTAAAATTGTCAAAATTAAGTTCTTAGCAATGCATCTTACTAATCAAAAATTAAGTTGATATTTACAGTAAGAAATTGACAAAATATCTTCATAATCTTCTTTACTTAATATCCTAATGAGTTTTGGCATAAAAGAAAAATCAATCATTTTGAATTGCTAAAAATATACCCCAGCAACTTAAGACTGGTTTTGTGGTCCAGGGTCACATATGGTAAACATGCCAGAACAAACCTCATTGCCACTTGTGCAGAACACATGCATGTTTGACCTTCTGTGTTTACTATATGTAATGTGTGTGTACATCATTGTTTAGACGTAAATAAAAGCCAAGATTAAATCGGTTCATCATATAAAGTTACCAAATCTCTTTACAAGACTTCGATTAAACTGGATTTTACAAAGCCAAGCAAGGCACACCTTACAGATCACGTTCGAGCATTTCAAGAGGAATTCATCTCGTTTGTAAGACTGCTGTTATTTGTGAAGGGAATATTAGATATTGTTTGTTCCTGCTAGTCGATACAGTCTGCTTCACGGTGTTAGTAATCCATGAACAACTAGCAGTTAATCAATGCTAATTTTACAACTCTGCAGGCATTCAGGTTTAGAGAGCTGCTCTTTCAAAACACACAAAAAAACATTTTAGCTGATGGGTTCCACATAAGGCAGTAGTTCTTTTTTACTTTTTCAAGCACTCTTCAGGACTAGAAAATAAGACACCTTTTATGAAAGTTAATCAATACTTTTGTCAGATTTATAATTCTAGATTCTGCTAAATAATTAAAAACGCTCTATTAAAAAAAGATGGTATGTGTACTTTTTAATGTTTTGTTTATAATGAAAGGCAAATTAAACTAATTAAATTGCAAAAATCCATAACAGAAAAAATGGCTTTTAAAAAAAGTTTTTTTAAACACATTGCTGTAATGAAGGAATTCATCCAAAAATTACACTTTTGCAATCTACTCACCCTCATGCTAATTTTGTCTTCCTGTTGAACCCAAAAAAAAGCTGAATAAGGGAGGCAATTGCAATTGTCAATACTAGTTAATTGTCAATTTGTCTAAAAAGGTAAAAAATGAAATTCTCCATAAACCTCGTATCCTAAAGTGAAACGACAGCCATTTCAGGAACAGTTTGAAATAGTCATTATTCATACAAAATCTTGCATTCAGCCACTGAAATGTAGCGAATATATACATGCAAAAACATCTTTGTATGCAAACGGAACAGAAACTTCACAGGTTCCAGAATATATCGTCTATAAGCCAGGTTTGATTTGGCAGACATGATTTCAATTTCCCTCAAAAATATGGCTTCTCATAACTTGAAAACCATAGGCGTAAGCTATACTTGAAAATGAAGAACGAACAAATATGGAAACCTTAAAAATTGTTAGTCCTACACTACTCGTGTATGGTATAAAGTCCATGTCCAGATATTCAACTGCATGTTATTAACATTTAAAACTGTATAAAATGCCTCTGAGGCCAGGCAGTCAGAGTGTCGGCTGAAATGAGTCCCTGGTGATCCCCTAAATTCCCCACAACTCTCTGTGAAGGACAGTGAATGCTTTTGGCAGTCAATAGTGGAACTGACAACACACCTCAGCGAGATGTTATTTCAGCTTTGAAAGCTTCACAAATATAACATCATTCTGCAAATTCAGCCCAGCGTGCCATGAGAGACAGGCATGATGTTAGGATCCTTTGAAGCAGATCCACTCACTAATACAAGACAGAATTATCGCCTGTATCCTCTTGTAAATATCGCATCTTAACATCTCTGCTGATTATCTATATTGGGGTGTAGCTGATGTGTGTCTGATTAAAAGGCAGCACAGGAAACTCATTCCGAAGGCAAAGGAACTCAATTAAGATGCTGCTTTGCTGCAGAGCTCATCATTTGGTCTGTGATTCCCTGGTGAATCCACATTAACATCCAAAACTCTTCAGAGGAATGGGTCTATATCCTGCCACTAAAGCAATGCAATCTTTGACTTGCTTTTTTCACCCTCAAACACCATTTCAAGGGCATCTACAATGAATGCTTCCGTTCACACAAAGTACTAAAAGGAAAGTGCTACCTCATGTTTGATGCTGAGACCTTTTAATTTCATCAAGATGTTGAATATTATGATACATTTGCAATTCATAGTATTTTCAATCTTGAATTAATTATAAACTGAGCAGCCTATCGGCAACATAACACTTTGTCCCCTGCACAGCCCCTGTGGCCAACTTTGACAACTCTACCATATGATGTATGCCAATCTTCAAGCAGAAGAAACTGGATGAATATTCAGAATGAGTTTGGATTCTGGACACTGTCGCCTCTATCTTGCTTGGGGACACTTAATATTCATCAATATGATTGACTTGACCGCACAGACACTATTGGATGAGAACTGAACGATGAAATGACTGTTTTCTACAGAGCTGCTTTACAGATGAATTGAAGTGATTTTGCCTACAAAACCACCACTGGCTCTGCACCCATTTACCTAAATTCATTACTTCAGAGTTATGTGCCCTCTAGAAGCTTGCTTTCTGCAAGTGAACGGCGTATTATTGTGCCATCTAAAATAGGCACAAAATCACTTTCACAGACTTTTTCATTAACTGTTCCCACCTGGTGGAATGACCTGCCCAATTCAATCCGAGCAGCTGAGTCCTTAACCATCTTCAAGAAACGACTAAAAACACATCTGTTCCACCTTTATTTGACACTCTAACTCGAACACTTTCTATTCTATTTTAATTCTACTTTATATTTATCTTTTTTTATTTTTTTTATTTAAACAAAAAACAAAAACAAACACTAGCTTTCTATTTTTTTCTATTCTATCTACTTGTTTTTCTTTGTGTGTGTAATATATATATATATATATATATATATACACACACACACACACACACACACATAGCTACGTGTACTGCGTTAGGCGAACCGAGACTTGTCATTTGCACTTATATATATTGTTGCTCTTTTGTTAGTTTTGACTGCTTTTATTGTCCTCATTTGTAAGTCGCTTTGGATAAAAGCGTCTGCTAAATGACAATGTAAATGTAAGTCATTTCATAAATGAGGATCTTTACACAGTTAACAATAACACTATTGTTTTTTTTTTAGAGCTGCTTTACAGTAGAATTGGTCTGTTTGCATCATTGAATAATTAATCTCATATACTTAATCTTTTTCCAAAGGTGGGGGTAGGGGCTCTTTTATTATCTGAGCAACTGAATGACTCCCAATCAACTCTTTGAGATGGAGGCATCCAAACGTCTGACATCTCTAGTAAAAATGCTTTGATTTTTATGATATTACTAAAAAATACAAAATTCTAATTCTCAGCATCATCAAAAAAAATTTATTTTTTTTTTTTTAATGTTTTTTCTTTTTCCCCTATTTTTTGGGGTCATTTTTTATATATTTTTTGTTTTGTAAAAAAACATTAAAACTCTTTTGATCTGTACCCCTGAGATTCTGAATTCCAGACATTTAGACTGGAATAATATTTAGATTGCATAACTGCCAGAGAGAGAGAGAGAGAGAGAGAGATAGAGAGATAGAGAGATAGAGAGATAGAGAGATAGAGAGATGACCGTTGCATGGTGCTTGTATAGAATACCATATTACATACTCATATGTTAAAATAATGTATTCCTGTGATGGCAAAGCTGAATTTTCAAAAATCATTCTAATATGCTGATTTGGTGCTCAAGAAACATTTCTTATTTTTATCAATTTTGAAAACAGGTATGCTGGTTAATATGTTTGTGGAAACTTATAAATTTTTAAGGATTCTTTGATGAATAGAAAGTTCAAAAGAACAAGATTTATTTGCAACTTAAAAAAAAAAAAAAAAAAAAAAAAAATTCAGTATAAAAAAAAAAAAAAAAAAAAAAAAAAAAAAAAAAAAAAAAAAAAAGTAAACCAAAAAGATCTTACTGACCACAAACTTTTTGACAAATGTAAATTCATATACACATCCATATTTAATGTCATTAAATCTGACTGTGTGTGAGGGCTGAAGGAGGGCCGTCTGACACAAGGGTGTCATGCTATGTTATGTCAGAGGTAACATAATCCTGATGAGTGTGAAATCCTGTTCCTAAAAATCCAAATCCTTCTGAAACGAACAACAAATGAACAGAAGTAATGAATTAGCCCAAAGGGAAATGCACACTTTACAGGATTTTCAATGGCACACTGAAATATACCAGCATTGGCACAATAAAGCAGAAACCTGTATTATGTTTAAGTTCATAAGGTCAAGCTACAGAACTCCTCTCTTTTTAATCCTGATGGAAGTGGTTATCATGGGAACCATTGGGTGGGTCCCATAATGTACATTCACTTTTTCACAATGTTCACATTTTACTATCATTGAGAGGAGGTTTGGTCTACAGAAAGCAAAATCTGCTCCAACACACTCAGATCACAAGCATTGTGAAACCTCAAAGTTACTCCACCTTTTGTGTGTCACTGCATCTCTATTTCACACACAAACATTAAGTGCTGGCATCATTGGCTCATACTAACGCTGTCACCGCAGAGAAATAAACACGCACACAATTCCACAACACACACACAGCCTGAATCTCAACGTCGCCCCCGAGTTGACATCAGCTTCCTTAAAAATGACCCACTTAATAAGAGCTGACAGCGGTGTCATCTCTCCGCTAAAGAGCATCTCGCGTCGCTGACATGTGCCTTCAGCAGCTGAAGTGACGTCAGGACCTGAGCTGTGAAGAAATCTGAAGCAGCGCTGAGATCTGAAATCCTGTTAAAACACTTCTGATTCCAATTTCCCCCCCAAGGACCCCAGTTTGAAGTCAGTTTAAAAATTATATTCCAATAGATACAAGGTCCAAAAAAAAAACTGCCATTGATGATTGTTGACTAACACTGATGATGCTGAATGCTTTGCCATGCTAAGCTATTCTACCTTTGTATTTCAAGACTACTGAAATCCCTCATTTTTATTCCTATAAATGCTTAATCATGCATTTAAAACAAAAATCATTAAGACAGGAGTCAAACCAACCTGAGATTAATCTCGACATTCGGTTTGATGCAAAAACGTATTTGAAAATTGGAAGAAAAAAAAAAACCATTGTGTTGTTTCACATCAACAGCAAATTCTCTGATTGGTGGAACTCACTTCAGGATTATTAGTGATGTAGGACTTCCCTGGTCCCTAATTTTGGAAATTAAACAACTCAGAAGCATGATGTTTGTAGTTCATAACTGGTCTATTTTGAAAGAGTTAGATTATCTCTAAAAATCAACTCCTCTTTGAAGAAAAGGGAATTATATGGAATGGAGTTTCTACATCCAGAACTCTATTTGGTTCTGCACTGCTCTCTCAGGTAAAAAAGAACTACACAACAGTGAGTGCGTGTTTTCTTGCCTTTCTCGATGCAGCTGAGCATGAGGCTGAAGAGCTGTGGGGATCTCTCCTCTAGTATCTGCTGATGCAGACTGACATATCGCAGTGTCCACCAGGGCAGCAGCTATTTACAAACACGCAACAGAGAGACAAGAACACAAGTTATATTTACGCTATAATTCAAACGTTTGTGGTTGGTAATATTCATGTTTTTGAAAGATGTCTCTTAAGTGAAGGACTGCATTTATTTGATAAAAAAAAATAGTGAAATATTTCAATTTAAAATAGCATTTTAAAAAATGCTTAAATGTAAATATATTCCTGTGATGGCAAACATTTTTTTCATTATTAAATTTGCATAAGATTAAATTAATATATTTTAGTTTAGCACTATAAAATAACAAATATGTTGTTTAACCTGCATTTAATCATGGCACATTTTAGTAACGGAGTCAAAAACAGAACAAAATACCTTCATTTAAAGAGGTTTTTGGTTACATTCCTTTATTCATTTTATGAGTTTTATATTCACGCCCTACTGATGGTAAGTGCCTTCAGTCCATCCATCTCTCTCCCAGTGTGCTGCTCTCGGTCTAATTTAGAGGGCTTGTGCTCTCTTGGACAAGGCTGATAAATCAGCAGCTTTAGAAAGGTGTGAGACAGCAGAAAGTGTTACACACATACAGTGCCTCTCCAGGGATCTACGAGGCCTCCGTGGGGCATTAGGGAGAAGAATCTCTTCACCTCCGCATAATTAGGAGTCCTAAGAGTTTTCATTAGGAACCCTGCAGCCCTCGACACACTCATTATCCAGAGCACTGACCTCCCAGAGTTGCCATTTCTTTCCATTCCATCCATCATACACACTTACATCCCACACACATATCACATCATTTCACATGAGCATTTAGTCATTTTATCACTCATTAAAAATGTGCTGATATTAACAAAATACAGCTTAACCCAAAGTGTTAAGTCAAAGAATGCACAAAAAAAATCATCCCTGAGCTCAAGTAGATAAAAAATCAAATAAAAATAAATCTATAAAATATCGAAATACATTACTTATTACTAGAGATGCATCGATACGAAATTTCTCAGCTGATACGGATGCCAATTATTCAGAATAATATCTGCTGTTAGTCTGGTTTTCTTAACGAAAAAAATCTCTCCCAACTAATGCTGCAAACTACCCAGAGAACCCTCTCATTTGGTACATTAGATGTTAAAGTGAACAACATTATTATATTAAATGCTATTTGTTTTTGGATATAATAGTCACTCAAATAAAAATGTCTGTATACAACTCAATTGCACGTTTTCATAACAGATTTATTCAAACATACAGATATAATTAAGAGTAAATAAGCTCCCTCTAATGTATTTTTTTTAGCCAACTAACCAACTGTGAACAGCGGATAACTTTGAGGTACTTTCTTTCGACTGAAACACTGATTGATTATATGAGACATGATCAATTTTGGTGAATTGTACTGTATCTTTCAACACTGATGTTCATTCATGTTTATTTTACACTATAACTTGTATTAAAAGAGAAAGAAACAAGCTCTGTGCTGCCACTTGAACGGTGATAAAATGTACAGGATTTGAAAGCGGAGACTTCGTTTCTTATTGGAAGTAATAAAGTGCAAAGCTCTTTTTGATAATTGGATTAGAGGTGCATTACAAATAATGTTTTGTGAAAGGAAAACCGTGGACCTGGCAACCCTGGCTTGAATCTCGGGTGGTTCACAGGGTCAAATATAATTTGTGTTAATGGTGCTTTGTTAATGCGTTATTATTGCCCTAATTTCGACAAAACATTTTCTTCAAACAAGTTGCAGTCTGACATGCATCTCTGCCGCCTTTTGATTGACAAGAAATAATCGAAGAAATAACCCTGATCATTGGCTGTTTTTAAACAATCGGCTGATGACAAATAATTGCTTTTATCAGCAGATACGATTATTGAACGATACATTGGTGCATCCCAAATTATTACAGACAATGACACTGGTCGTGCATGTAATCACAGGCGCATCATGGTACTGTACCTGTGAGAATTTCTGGAGCAAAGCTTCAGGCAGAAAATCAGAGATATGGAGCTCAACTGGCGGCCCGGTCCAATTACTCTGAGCGAAAAGGTTCAGACACCCCACTGCCAACGCCAACAGAGCAGTTTCTCTACAGCAGACAAGAGATCAGGTTCAGAAACATGCATGTTTGAGAGCTAATCTCATTACAGCCACTGGATTTATTGATCTGAAATACACCGATGTTGATTTCCACCACAACATCCACCAGGTAAATGTTGTTTATTTCTGAAAACATCTCCACACTTCTATGGCTTTGGCCTTCACGATTCTGATCCAAAAGTACAGACCTGAAGGAATGAATCAGGTGGCAGCAATGTGCCACCTGCTGAAATCAAAGACCTGAGATTGTAATTCTGCTCTACGGTTGAGTCAGTCCCCAGACGCCATTGAGAAAGGACATATTTACATGCACACACATCCACGCATTCATGTTTCAGTGCGATCTACAGCGCTGATGTATTCTCACAAGAGAGAAACTGTTGCGAGTCATGAATCTCATTGTATATTTTGGTGCTTTTAAAATAATACATGATGGATAAATGAAAAATACACAAGAACACAACAGAAAGAGAAGGTGAGGACAAAAAGGAAAGGAAAACAAAAAGAAATGACATACATCTCTCCTGCATTCAACAGCACAGACATCAATCTACCTGCATCTAATCTCTCAACAGAAAGCATTGATCATTATTCAAGCCACTCCACTCATCTACAACTACTTTCTGCCTCACTAACAGAAGAGAGAGGCTGTATAGAAAGAAAAATAAAGGAAGAGGGAGCGTGATTGAGCAGAAGAGAGATAAGAAGAGAGGCACGGCTGAGGAGCACAGCGCAACCCTCCTTTCCTCGCCTCTTTCTTTCTCTGGAGAGAAAGGATGTTAAAGTGGGCTTACCGAAAATTAATAATTTATGGCTGAAAGTAGGGGGACAGTGTCTGAACTCTTCTGTATGGTTTTATTCATTCTCAACACAATAAAACGCACAAAAACCATTGGATTTTCTATACTGTCTGTGTGTATGCATGCATGTATGTATGTATATACAGCGCTCTCTCCCACCTTCAATACCCTTGAGCATTCAATTGCCCTTGAGCAAGGCACTGAACCCCCAACTGCTCCCCGGGCGTGGCAGCAAAAGAAATGGCTGCCCACTGCTCCGGGTGTGTGTTCACTGCTGTGTTTGTGCACTTTGGATGGGTTAAAATGCAGAGCACTAATTCCAAGTATGGGTCACCATACTTGGCCACATGTCACATACAGTATATATAGCATCTCCACACATATAATTTCATATTCACAGCATATTTAACACGGTCAAAGCAGCTTTCAAATTATATAAATGACAGATATAAAAATAATTTAATACAGATCACCCATCAATAAATCGTCCACAGAAACACTGCGTTTACAATAATTAGTCCGGTAACCGAACTACACTGTATTTATTCGATTCTCTAAATGAATTGGCTCTTACCAATCTTATGCTCAGGAATCGGACAATATTTGCTGCGCTGTACTTTGATTCACTAAAAAAGAACCGGCTAAAAGAATCATTTGTTCAGAATCTACATGGATTCACTAAAAAGAATCGACTCTTTTTCTTTGGACTAGATTTGTCACGTTGTACGTTTTTGGAATTCAGAACAAACTAGGAGCCATCCATTCGTAATCGAACTACACGAACATGATTTTGGTTTTATAAAAGAAGCCATTCATCAGAGTCATGCGTTGGAGAATCGGACTTTATGCTTGCTGTAACTGCTGTAACTGTGCGTCGGTGCCGCTGAATAGTAGAGCAAGAAACACTGTCAGAGTATTTAGTACGGTGTTCGGTCCGCCACACCAGGTTCGAGAACCGTTGAAAAACAACAACAATCACTTAATCGTGAACCCTTCAATCACGACAATAATTCAGTTCCGGTATTATAACAACATCTTAAATGTGTTGCGCTCCTTCTAGTTGTCATTAAGGCGACCTGTGTGAACGCCCACAAAAATAACACACGAACAGGAGTGTGTAACTTACACGCAATAGGCAGGTGCTGCCCGGCTAACAGTTTATCATCTCTCACCTCAACAGGACACACACGCGTCGGTCCTCTGTGTGCTGATGTCCGATACGCTAAAGCTGCCCACACTGTCCCTCCATGCGGTCAATACACAAATACAGAAGTCCTGCTGTTAGAACGCTGTCAAATCCCGCTCAGTTCACAGTCAGCGGAAACTCGCGCCAGTCCCGTGCGTCGGCGCGGCGCGGAGATTTCAACACACATGCGGCACATTTAAACCACGCGAGTGTGTAACTGCTGCGTCCAGCAAACCAACCAGCACGCAACACATCCACAACAATAACCGTGCGGATCCAAACCCGTTTATTACCCACAGCTGGACGAAACCATCAGCCATCATCGACATCGTTTCAAAACCACATCGGCTCAGACCTGCCGCTGTCTCTTACCTGCGGTGCTGAAGCCGCTCTGTTTCCAGTCCGGACTCAGTCCGCCCAGAACCGCCGCCTCGAGCTGCAGCATCTTCATCCTCGTCAACCCTCACTAGAGAAATGAAACACGCGTCACGTCGCTCAAGACCTGCTCTGGCTGTGAATGTGAGACGTGAAGGCTTCGTGTGCTCGCTGTGATGGGTTTGATTTCTGCCCATGTGCTGCAAGTGTCATCAGTGAGCAGCCATGACAGCGACGTGGTGCATTATGGGATACTTAATAAGGCAGCGCCGCTAAGGGAACGTCGAGATTTGTCCAGACGCTCAAATGGGCGCAACATAAAATCAGTATTGGATTACTGTAAATCTGTTACATGATTGAAATAATATCTGTTTTTATGCAAATTAGACGTATAATTAACCATTCTGTTGTCTTCTATTTTTGATGTAATCTATTTATATAATACTCAAAATTCAACCCAAACAAGGCTTTGTGACAGTTATTTGTAAATCTAATATTCAAAGTCCTATATGAACTTCACCTTTGCCTTTTTATATATTTATTTATTTATTTATGAGTTATTTATTTGTAAATCTAATACTTTCAGTAAACAAAATTAGTTTATATACTATTATTTCAGAATTATATACAATCAGTACAACTGCCGTAGTTAATAAAATAATACAGTTTCTTTCAGATTCCCTTATATTTTGTATTTTTAATGGAGTTAAAATGTAGTTTGAAACGTATTAGCTTACGTTTGTGCTAACCATAGAACTCTAAAGCAATTCAAAGAAAGTGACAAATTAGCATATCAAAAAAGAAGAAAAAATTGCTTCAACTGAATGTTGAAAGAGTGAGTCAAAGATGATTCCTCTCTTTTTTTAAAGAAACTTTAATTCAGTCACTGAGCCATTTTCCTCTCATCATTCTTACTTTGAGATATTAATTATATCTATATTATATCTTTTTTCCAATAAAGCTTTTGATTATTTTAAGCAGGCACCGAGCTGTGAATATAAAGCTTCTCGTGCAGATGAACACTATATCTGCCCCAAGTGACTGACTGTTAGCATAAGGGAACCTGAGGGGGCCGTTGACTCCTGTTCTGTCTCTCTTATGCCTCTAATGCTTCTGGCGGTAGTAGAAGGTCATTCTCTTTATAAAAATCAAGCAGATGATTCGTCTTGATTACACGGAGTGGCAGAGGACCACTGGAGTCCAGAAGGTTTGGCAGTGTGTAATGTGTGTTTGTATGAGTGTGTGTCAGATATAAGGAGAGACCCCTAAGGACAGGTCAAAAATACATTCACACACTCAAATGCAGGATGATGTGTTGTATTAGACGTGAAATGACCACGATGGAAACCGTGACCCATTACATCAAACACAACATTAAAGGTCAAATACATTTGTGATCACATGCTCGCTTTGTACAGGAAATGTTGTTTCTGTATGTTTGTTGTTTTGGTGTAAGCTGTTTTTGTGCTGTAGGACCAGAACCAGAATACAATGTGTGGCCAGCATCATTTTATGATTTTTATTTTATTATAATATGTCAGCTAATTATACTTTCCTAGAAATAATGTTTTGATGATTGCTCAAATAATCAATATAAACATAGCAAAATGGACAAAACGGATATATATATTTAAAGGGGTCATATGATGCAATTTCAATTTTTCCTTTCTCTTTGGAGTGTTACAAGCTCTTGGTGCATAAAGCAGATCTGTAAAGTAGCAAAGACTAAAGTCTCAAATCCAAAGAGATATTCTTTATAAAAGTTCAGAGTCAGGCACACCTACCTAAAACGGTTCGTTCTAACACGCCCTCACATATTTACGTCGATATGTGGGAAGATTTGCATAACGCCGCCCACTCTGTGGATGCACTGTGGATCGCTGGATCGGCTTTCACCGTGGACAAAGCGGAGTCCAGCCCAGGGGCCGTTTTCAAGTACGCCGGCCGCCACTCACATTAGGCCGCCGTGTGTGACGCAGTGTGTTTCGTTGTGAAAGCGAAACTACTAATTTGTAATCTGTTTGGCCTTCCAAAAGAGGACACAACTAGAAATCAGTGGTTAAGTTGTATTTACAACACTGTTCCAGAACAGTTCAACCCAAATATTCAGATGTGTGCAGCACATTTTATGGAGGACTGTTTCCTGATCCTGGGAGAGTAACGTTAGACTACAATGCCGGCCATTCTGACTCACAGTCTGTAAGTAAGTTTTCATATTTAAAGGATTTGCCACTGATGATTCAAACGCGAGTTTTGAGCAGTGTAGAGTAGCGCTTGTTGTTTGTCATTTCTCCGATCACAAATGTAGACATGGTTTTATGTTTACGCAGCGCGATGCAACGCAACACATAAAAAGACAGTATAAGTCATTATAATCCGTAATTATGTCCCCACTGGATGCAACAAATGCCTCGTTTGTAATGTGTTTTATTGGTTTTGTTTCGTCATGCCGGGACACATGGAAACACAGTATGGTGAGGGGCGTAACATTTCCGTCACACGCTTGAGGTATTCGGCCAATCACAACACACTGGATAGCTGGCCAATCAGAGCACACCTTGGTTTTCAGACTGATGAGCTTTGTAAAAATCGACGCGTTTCAGAAAGGCGGGGCATAGAGGAGAAACAATAATGTACAGTATGTGGAAAATAATGTTGTTGTTTTTTTACATTAAACCGCATAAACACATTTCATTACACCAAATACACAAAATAATGTTCTTTTTAGCAACATCATATGACCCATTTAAGTTGGGGTGTAACATAGCCTACACAAAAATCACAGTTTGGTACGTTCCGTGTGTATATGCATGTACAGCAGGGGACAAACAAAACATTAAGTTGCTATTTTTTTTGCTTTTTTATTAAACACTGCATTACTGAAAACACTATGGTTTTGTCTTTAAATAAAAAGTCTGTCAACCGACTGCAACAAACTCTTCGTACTGCAGTTAATGGTGCAGTTTTAGTGGAAGATGTTCGAATTGCTTCCATTTTTGGATGCAAATTATTTTAGCAAAATGTATATTTATGCATTATGTAAGTTATGCACACACAGTAACAATTTACTGTGAAATTTTTAATTACACTCAACAAAACTTTGTAAATGGTAAATAATAATGGTAAAATATACTGTTAAATGTTAAAAATGAGAAACCATATAATTTATGTAAACTGACATTTTCAGAAACCGCTATGTGATTCATAATTTTATTATATTTTACAATCTTTTTATTTTACATTTATATTTTATTATCGGCTGCAGGGATGAAGACGACAACTCCCATGATTCCACACTCAGTCACGGCGTCATCAAACGATGCCTTTGTCTATTTGTTTATTTTGAATACGCGGCCTCTTGCGGCAAAAATTACATATTGTGCCTTTAAGGAGGGACCCAAGCCATATCTAAGGACCAGAATCATGAGACTCTTTTGACTTGGGCCAATTAGTAACTGTAGAAACGCTCTGGCAACCAATCAGAACACCCTAGAAACACCATAGCAGCACCTTAGCAACCAATGGTTAATTTTAATAAATTTCAAACAGTCAGAAAAATTCAATTTCCCCATATAAAAATGAGGTTGTTACAGTTTTACCGATGATACTGTTTGTGATAATGAACATAAATGTACATCTCCATCCGAACTCAAGCTACTACTACTGTCAGCTCAAGCTACTGTCAAATGTGCATTTATAAGAGACAAAAAATTTAATATTGTCAATATTGCACCCTGCACTGCAAACTGTGCTGAAGATACATGTCATCAAATTCAGGTGACACAAACCTGTTTCATGATTTGAAACAATAATACTCATTAGAACATGCAGAAACTAAGAATTTTTTTTTTCTATTAAGATATTTATTTTGTTAAGGAAAATGACAGGAAAAATGTAAAGAATTCAAAAACATGAAGTGATTGTCATGTTCTGACAATGAAGAGTAGTTTAAAACCACAGTTAACAGTCTGGTTTCTATAACTTTCACTTAGGAGCAAAAAATCTGCCTTTAAACCTGAAAAAAATAAAGAAAATAAAATGTATTGTGATAATTATTGATATTGACTAATATGAAAAATGTTATTGTGATAATTTTTTTGGCCATATCGCCCAGCCCTATATATATATATATATATATATATATATAAATTCCATACCAATGCCCTAGCAACAAATCAGACTAGATATCCCATAAAACACCACCCAGAACACTGTCATAGCAACACTTTAGAAACAGATGTAATGTTAATATATCAATCTATTGAAGTACTGAAATCTGTTTTGTACCTTTGTAATACACTGATAACCACCAAATGCAGGTGGTGATGAGAAAGTCACATGATAAACCAAAGCCCATCACAAGCAGCTTTTAAATAATAACATATATAGAACGTGCAAAGTGTCATTCACACAAACACTAAACACCATCATGGTAACACATATAAAACTGAAATAATGCAATAAACATTAATTTAACAACATTAGGTGTAACACACAACCCTAATATACAAAACTGATAAGAAAAAACTAAGAAGAAACAGTTATTTCAAGAAAAAAACCAAATTTGAAATGTAACGCATGTAATTCTGGGAATGTCAATTTATGGTTATTCACTGTAAATTATAGTCTTTTTCACTTCCAAAAACAGTATACTACCGTAAAATTCATGTCCAATACAGTTTTCACCGTATAGTAGGGGAATTTACCATTAACCATTTAACAGTCTTTTACCATTAAATTCACAGAATTTTTTTACAGTGTAGTTTAAAAGATGGACACTAGCCCTGACAGCAACAGCTCTGTGTTATCTACAATTTGACGATCAAATGCATGCATTTAATGGATGCAGGAAAATGCTGAAGCGCGGCTGTGCGTTCCACGACCTCCTGATAAATCAGAAGAGAGAGGACAGATACAGTCCCTCTGCTCACATAGGGCTGCCAGAAATAACATCATGACCTTGCAATTACAGTCAACTGGGGAGGATCCATCTAACATCTCTGAGCGGGAGCACGTGTGTGAATACATGCTCGTGTCATGGCACGACTGCTCAGCTCACCGGATCACAATCACACTCTGGGTTTAAATACACTCAATCAATAATGGATGGGCTGAGCGCTCACACACCTTCATTCCTTTGTGCTTCTCAGTGGGATTCCTACAATTTTGCCTCTCTGAAGACGAGAAATGCTCAGAGATTGATCAATATCTCTTCTAAAATGCTGAGATTTAGACCAACAGGACCAGCATGCGTCATGGTTTTGTTTTTTCTTACTAAAGCTTAGGAGAGATCCAAACTACATGGATTTTATGAAAAATTGAAGATGGTTCCATTTCAGATTATCTCTCAAGACCAAAATGCGATGTCTGTCTGAAGAGTGCTTTCTTTTTCTTTCATTCTAAAACAGAACTGAACACCAATGGATCTAATTTGCAGTAGTTCTGAAATGTCTTCACTTTATTGGCATATGACACTTTTATTGACCAGGGTACAAAACAGGGCCTGAAATTTCAGATGTATGTTTTTTTCCCACAACTATTCAATCAATACAGTGCATAGCCTGATTTGTGTGCTTTTCTGTTTTTCTAGCATTAAACATTAAATAAACAAAAAGATATATAATAGCATGTAAAGTAGATAAAGGTATCGGAAATCAAGACAACAGATACAATTATAAAATTTAAAAAATAAAAATAAATGGAAAATACAAATGTTGACTAAATGTAATGAAAGGGTCCACCTGATGTTCACGCCTGTAAAGTTTAGGGTACTTTTTTAATGTCCTTTTTTATTTTATAAATACATCTTTTATGTTCACCAATGCTGTATTTATTTTACAAAACAAACAAACAAAAAAAAAAAACGGTAATATAATTTACAAAAACTGTTTTTCTATTTTAATTTATTTTAAAATGAAATTTATTCCTGTGATCAAAGTAGAATTTTTAGCAGTCATTAATCCAGTCTTCAGAGTCACATGAATTCTAATATGCTGATTTGGTGCTCAAGAAAAGTGTCTTATTATTTTTTTTATTATATGTCGATTATAACAGTTGTGCTGCTTAATATTTTTGGAAATCATGACATGTTTACTTCAGGACTATTCAATAAATAGAAAGATCACAAGAACAGTATTAATGTATTTACTATCACTTTTGATCTATTTAATGCATACCTGCTGAAAGTATTTTAAAAAATCTTTCTGATATGGTAGTGTACATTTTTAAGGAATGTTACTTCATTATGCATAACTTTGGGGCAATTAAATATTACAATTCTTTGGTATTTAAACTGACTTAACAGTAATCTTACTAATATACATTAAATATCAATTAAACAGATACAAGTTAAAATGATACTATGATTCGAACTGTTGGATACATTAAAGAAGGTCAAGTACTCCAAATTGATGGAGTGTTTTATTCATCTCATTGTCTAGCACAGTTTTAGATACTTTTACGTCTGTAGCTGACAGTGATTTGAAACCTGTTCATCTCTCAACCTGTCATAATTAAAGAGGAAAAGATAAAAGTAAACCCTGCTTACGCACGCGCACACACACTCACCACAATCTGTCATCTACAGACCCACATTAAATAGTATTTCCAAGCAAAGTAAAACAGGTTGCATTTATTAAACTTGCACTTAAAAGCAGAGGGGGCAAAAACAAAACGTGCTATTGATCAGCCTGAACGACAGCATCCAGTCATCAGAGCACTTCTGAACGTCCGTTTCAGGCTTTATTATTGAAGTGTACATAAATCTGTAGAAACCAAAAGCACTGTCAGAGGGTCACCAGAGGATCGGGGGGACTCAAGAGTGTGTATGGGGCGCGTGTTCATTACGTTCTTCTTTTAAATAGTTCACTTAAAGACTGACCAGTATATTCTCACTTACAAACTGTCCTTGCACTAACAATCCAAAAGAAAAGAAACAAAGAGAGAAATTAACATTTGGTAAACATTCTCCACTAAAGGCAGTTCCCTTATATATACTGTGATTTTATCTTTCATTTTGTTTACATAAACAAGTTTAATAACATATCAATCAGTGGTTATTGAACAATTTGGGAAAATAAAGGAAAAAAGCGCACACAAAAATTATACTCTTTTACAAGTAAATAAAAGGATCTTTTCTTTTCTTTGTTTTCTTCAGGGCAGAGTTCAGCGGTTCATCTTGTGTTGGTGGGTGTAAGCGGATTCATTTCCTTGTACTTTCTTTGCTTTGACTGTCCTCTCTTTTTATGCTATTACATAATTAGATTCTTACATACAAATATTGACAAAAAAAATGGCTTAATCACCAAAGCCATCCAGTCTTTTTTCAATATCAATGGATAGTCAAAGGCGGTGGGCGGGGCTTCAGGGGGACAGGGGATCATAGCTGGCCGTCGCTACAGTGGGCATCCGGGCTGTCCGTCTGCTTCTCTGCGTCCTGACCCGGCAGCTCTTTCACCATCAGCGACGTGCTTTTATCGGAAAACTCCTCCCCGTCCGGCTCCAGGCCTTCAGGACAGTGAAGCTTCAACAACTCTTCTCTGAGCTGAGCCGTGTGCCTCTGCAAAAAAACACATGGAATCGGTTTTAAAGACACAACAAATGCCACGATTTCCATTTGTATGACAGCGAACACAGTGTTGTACCTTTAGTGCAGCTGCGTGATGAGACATGGTTCGTCCGACTCTCTTATCGCTGCTGTACTGCTGAATATCACAGATCCAGCCCTCGCACTGGGCCATGATCTCCACTCGCTTCAGATAGAAGTGCCGATGGATCACCTGCGCGCAGACACACACACACACACACACACACACACACACACACGGTTAGTGCACAAAAACACACTCAGTGTTCTTGGAAAAGCGAATTGTGTATCAGTTCTTGTACAGCCCATAAATCAAATGTAAACCTCGTATCCAATTACAGTAGCACCAGAAAACAATCTGCTGATCTTTGGATTGAGACTCCATTGACCAGATGACCAATCGCACTGCACAGATAACCAGCAGTCATTGCCTGTCTGTGCATGTTAACATGAATAAACTAAGTGACCTTTTCGGTAACAAAGACCATAGGCAGGAAATAAAAGAACTCACACAGACACACACTTCCTAGTAGTACTCCGACTCTGTCCGAAGGCAAGAGCTGACTCACTTGTTCATTCTTCATTTAGATTAGTCTCCTAGATATTCTTCCTCTCCATCTCAATGTGTTTTCTATACACGTCATACAGTGTACTAAACGGCAGATGTGAGGAGTGTTAACAGCCGCCGTGCCACCCTGATTTAACACCATCCAAAATCACTTCCCCCAGACCTCAGGAGTGGTTCTTAGGTGTGCTTAAAACAGTAAAAAAAACTGCAAAAATACCATGGTCAATAAATGGTCAAATGTAGGATAGTTTGACTATATGTTGACTGTCAACGCTTCTGAACTACTGTAAGTCATCACATGGCTTTCCATTAAAGCAAGATTTTTGTCAAATTTGAAGTTCAAAATTGCAAGAATAAAGTAATAGCATTATGAGATTAAAATCAATGTATGAGAAAAAAGTCGTAATGTTATGAGAATAAAGTCATGTTTTTTTAAAGTCAATGTTATGAAAATAAATGTGTAAAGTTTTGAGGATAAAGTAGTAATGTTACAAGAATTCATGTTTTGCACAAAAGAATGACACAACAAAAAATGTTTATCAAGAGAGAAGTAGGTTATATTTTGAGAGTAAATTCGTAATGTTTTGAGAATGAATGTTTGTTTATTCTCAAAACATTAGGACATTAAAATCTAAATAATTTGAAATCTAACTAAATTTGTAAAAAAAAAAAAAATCCTCTTGAGGCTCTAGTGGGAAAATGCTCTTACAAACAGCTTCTGGAAAATCGACCTGCTGTGTCTTCACTAACACACACACACACACACACACACACACACACACAAAATCTCTCTCAGGATTAAGACATGCACTTTAGCCTGCTTGTAAAAGCGAGATGTTGCATGGCTCAAACTTCTGGGGGGAAAAGACCGAGCGCAGATGAGAAGGATTCAGGAATGAGTGCTTATGATCGATGGTCTTGCCAGCGTTGCCATGGAAACCCCGGCGGCCACTACACATCACTCTCTGGCTCAGAGCTCAACCTCACCGGCCTTATATCTCTCTATTTTGCTGTCTCGCTTCATCCATCCTTCATAAATCTATCTTTCTCTCAAACACACAAAGACTCTCCCATAATGCCGCATTTGTTTCATATTCATTCAGTTCCCAAAGGAACATCTAAAATTATACTGGAAAAATAGGGAGAAATGAAAAAGGGTTAGGAACAGAAACTCCATTTAAAAGAAAATGAACATGAGCATAGCTACCAAGTAAGGTTGTCATGCAGGAGCAAGTGTGTGTGTTTGTGTGTGCTTCCTCCCTCTTTTGACATCAACAGCCCACCATTTATTATCCTGCGTGACTGGCTGTGTGTGTGTGCGAGCGAGAGAGAGAGAGAGAGAGAGAGA